TCTCGTCGTTTCTCCGTTCGTGGAGAAGGAAGGAGGGGGGAGAGGAATCGATCGATCCTGTGGGTGGGTGGATGGATGGATGGATAGAGGAGGAGAGGGGGAGGGCCCGTTGAAACTAATAGATAGGTAATTAGCGGATAATGAAGTGGCTTCCTGCCAGGTGAAAAAAATGGTCGATCCGGCCGGGATAGATCCATTAACGATCGATCGCCGCTTTGTTCTTTGGAATCGCGGTCAAAAGGAAACTTATTACGCTTGTTAAGCCGATTTGCGGCTCGCCATCGGTAGGGAACGACGGTAAATGGGATTATAAAAATCGAAGCTTGCGGATGTAAATCTTTTCGACGATGAATCTCGATTGCTGGTTGCGTCGCGCCTTCGAATTGCTGGAATTATTATATTCGAGCAACGGTAAATATATTGATACGTCTATTGTGTCGACTTTGATGCAGATCGCGCTATTGTTGTTATTATTATTATTATTCAGGCGCGATAGGATAGTTCGAGGTAGATTCATAACTGTATTGTTTAAATTTTGCTGAAGAGTATTGATTGGAAGCGATATTACCCTATCCTGGAAATCGGGCTACTATTAGAAATTATAATTACGGTCTTAAAACGGTGGTATCTAGGTACGTATGTTAAATTATGTATCTATACGATTCATCGATATTTACCTGTCGATATTGTAACGTCAACGCTGGCAAAGTTTAAGACTCTTAACAGGGTATTATTAATTTAAGCGGTTTATAGTACGTATATATTATACTTAAATATGGAGAATTAATAAAAAAAAAAAAAGATAAGAGATAAGACGGTTTTTGCTTTTAAATAACGAAAGAATTCTTTTTTTGCACACAAATGCAACTGATTATTATTAATTAGATTACGAATATTAAATACCTATCCAATACACTTGACAAGGCGCAAAATATTCAAAATATTCAAAATATTCAAAATAGTGTGCATTGTAATATTTAAAGAAAATTTGCATTTGATATAATCGCGCGTTATTCCAATATCGCGAATTGGAGCAATCCACTTGATGATCCTCGTACCAACGCGATGATCCGAGCTCATCGATGCTCGTGATCACCGTGAAACGAAGACACGATCCTCCCACCCCCTTTTCCAAACGTCGAGGCTGCTAATTAGACGGATAAGATAATTCCTCCTTTGAAACTATAGAAGGAAAACCAACCGACGTTCCTCTGCTTTTCTTTTCCAGGTGCGGAAGATGTGTTCAGGTTTACGGGGAACGAGACGCACACAGACTACTTTCGGCTGGTACTCCGGGACGGGAACTATCTTCTGGTCGGCGGAAGGTAAATAGAGGATTCATTTGGACCGAGTGCTTTAATTAAAGGACCGTTTCTTCTTATCCGTTTCTTTGCAACCGGGTTTCGAGGGCCCGTGTCCGCGATCGAGGGGGGGCCTCCCTCCCTCCCTCTCTCTCTCGATCCCTCTCTACGTGTACCGACTACTTCCTCCCTGAAAATCTCGTTTCTCCCTCGTTTCCTTCCTCGCCTCTCTCTCTCTCTCCCCCAAGATGAATTCCAAGACCGGCCACCACCGGCGCTGTTCCCGTTAATGAGATCG